TAAGAAAAGCTCTATGCTTTTCTCACTGATTTTTTTCTTTCTACCCCTCCTTTTACCTGGTTTTTGTTTCGTGCACTCCACTTTTTTGGCAGCAAGCAGTTCAACAATGTAGAGGTCGTAGAAAGCAAGCCCTATCTACTAGAAAGCATGGGAGTTCCCACAGTACTGATTCTCAAGGAATTGAGGGGGTACCCTGAAAAACAAGCTCTGATGCATGTTTTACAAAAGATGTCAGCAGCTAGTGAATCAGAGACAAATTCTGCTGGCAACACCGTTGCCTCCTATAATGAGGATGTGTTTCATGGCTGCCAGGAGATCTGTATCCATTTTTTATTCTCTCCTATTACGTAACCTTCCAGGCAAACAGTATATTCTCAAGAAAGTTTCTTCACTCTGAGCCCTGAACATCAGAGCTCTGTGATACATTTATTATTGGAGACTTTGGGCCTGATTCTCCAGTTCTTTGAAACAAAAGGAGCTCTCCTGGTGTAAGTGAGGGAAGGCTCAGATAGCACCTAAAAAGCTTTAAAAATGTGATGCTTGCCTTTGGAGGGCCTGAGCTATGTGGAAGTGCAAACTGTGACAAATTAGTCAGATTGCACTAGGCATTGTACAAACATTACAAAAATACAATCCTTGCTTTCAAGAGCTTAAAAATATAAGCATATTCCACTTCTAGTGTTCATGTAGTGCGCCCACTAATGCTCCTAAAAGTTACTTGCTGCAAGGGGAAGAACACACCTTTAATTCTTCTCTTCACTTTGCTATATCAACAGGATATTACTGCATGGCAACACTGCTGCTAAATTCCATCACCATGAGAAAACTGACCCAGTTGTATGGCATTCTCAGGAATCCTCCCTTCACTGCATTGTCCGTTGTCAAAACATTTTCAGCATCAGCTCAGCAGTGAACTATAGTTGTCACCAATGGGTTCATTTACTAGTGAGAGGGGGTTTAACACTGTGGGAGATCCTCACATTGCTTCTTTCACATAGCATCTGTGAAGGCCCATGAAGAAGAAAAACCCACAACAAGAGGAGTCTTATTTGCTCTGTGACCTGAAGGTTAACTGCGCCCTAAGGATAGCTATTGAGTCTACCAATGCATAGGGAAAATAATACAAATGAAAGACAAATAATTCCTAAAGTACATAAAATCTTCCAAAACTTTACACAGGAAACTCTAATCATTAACTCTGGAACTTGACGGCATCAGCAAACATATATAATAATACCCTTGAATAGCTGGCTCAAGTATTTTACTTATATAATCTTGCACATAGAAATGCCAATTTAATCTTTAATAATATTTAGTAACTGTCAGTGAAAAATTGACCATAACATGCACTTTCATGTCAATTTTCTGTTTTTCTGTGCCACCTAATAAAATAAGTGTTATGCAGTTTTACTCTGCACTAGTAAAGTGAATTAAACATTGGAATTACTGTTACATTTTAACCATAAGCTCTCTTCCATAGTCTTCAGTTCAAAAGACAAAGTAAACCCCAGC